TGCATCCAAATGTATCTCTCCTTTTCTTATAAAGACCCCGGTCATTGGCTTTAGGGCCCCCCTTAATCTCGTATGACTTCATTTTAACTTGATTACATCTGTAAAGTTTCTATTTCCAAAAAAGGTCACATTCACAGGCGTTTAGGACTTGAACATATCACTCAACCCGCTTACAACCCCATGAGGGCCCGTGATCCACTGGGCGTTTGTGGCTTATGGGCCCCAGTAACACACCTTGTCCTCCTGTTGTCTCTCTAGTCTTAGGGGTAGAAGTAGCTTTTGCTAGAGCTAATCTCTGAGTTGTTTCACCAATCCCTGTTTATATTACATAAAATATAAATCTATAATATAAATGCATATATGTAATATACCAAGTATTTACAGATGTAATAACATGAAATTTTCTTTAAAATATTCCAGCAAAAAGAAGGATGGGGGAAACTCTAATGTAAACTATAGACTGGGAGATTTTGATGTATTAGTGAAGATTCATTAATTGTAATAAATGCACCACTCTGGTGGCGGGGGGCATGTTGATAATGGGGGAAGCTGTGCATGTGTTGGGGACACGGAATATGTGAGAAATTTCTGTATCCTCCCCACAATTTTGCTGTGAATCGAAAACTGCTCTTAAAAAACTAAGTTTTTTTTTTTTTAAAATGGGGAGGTGAATGAAAGTGAACGAAAATTGGCAAAATGTTAATGATGCTGCTAATAACATTGAGCAATTTGTATTGCTTAAGTTCATTTTACTATTCTCTCTACTTTTGTATATGTTTGAGATTTTCCAGAACAAAAAGACTCTAAAATTGGTAAGATAAAATGGTGATATTTTTTCCTGTTGGTTTTTGTACTTAGTTCTTTGAAAATGCCTTGTATATCACTCCTTTCTCATTTCATTAAGAAAACCTCAATTGTCTCTAAAACTCTGTTGAAGAAAATCCAGCAGGACCATCATCTTACTATTCAGTATTTCAACAGAAAAGATAAAAGCGCCTGAAAATTAAATTTTTATGAGAAAATTCTGTGACCACATCGAAATAATAGTCTAAAATTCATCTAGCTCCACCTCTTCTCTGTTTAGTATTTAGTAACTTATAACCAACAAGATAGCCTCGCTTTCTTCAAATTATTAAAATATAAAGTGTGGTCTGCTGTGAGAAAAATAAAGACCCTTTGTTTTCCCTTTCAGTAGAAGGCTTACACTGAAAGAAAAAAGCAAAATCTTTACTATGGAAGGATTTAAATCAGAAGTTGAAGAATAATCTAGGTTCTTTGGATGGCCTAATGCTAATAAATTAGTCTGCTTCAGAACTTCCATTGCTCAAAATATGATCTGTTTCTGAGACCATATAATATTGAGTTATATTATTTTCTAATTTTTGATCATCAAATAGATGTGCGATTATACCACGCAGAGAGTTGTACATTGTAAAGGAAGGTCATGCTCTTGCTAGAAATCTCGCTTTCCTATTTTCCTTTTCCTAGGATGTACTTTCAAAATTAAAAAATTAAGAAAGAAAAGCAAATGAAGCATATCCTATTAATAATCATTAACCTAAATTTTGTGTGTCTTCTTTTTGTTTCAACTGTTGTATGATATCGGTACCTTCTAAACTTTAAGGACATACACATGATAAATAATGCTTTAAACTACATGTCACTAAATGTAGTGGAACACCCAGATAAAGAACATTTTTTTTCCTTTTCTCTTGGTAACAAAATTAGTCATAAAAGATACTAAACTATTTTTGTTGTCTTCTATCATAAAAGTTGATTTTTCTTTTGAAATGAAATATCTCCTCTATTCACATGACAGATTTTAATCTTTTATGTGTGTGTGGCAGAATATAGTAAACCATTTAGTTGCTATAGTTTGTTGTTAGAAATTTTGCATGAAGATTAATCCAATCTGCCTGTCTTCCAGTTCTGCCAGACCTCACGGCTTTCCAAGTACATGTGAAACCCTGAGTTGGCCGCTCTAAGGCAGGCAGACATTGGACAGGAGGGAGCTTACTACTTTCACACTGCTGAGGTCATTCCCGCCTGCAGTCTGCACATCAGAAAAGCATAATTTTCGATCAGGTTTTGATGATTGATAGTCATCATTTAAAAGCTAATACTTTTGATCACTTCCTTGTGCCAGACACTATTCAGCATTGACTTCTCTCAAGAACTCACTCGAGAATCAACATTTGTTATCTCTGATTTTAGTTAATGAGACTGAGGCTCAGAGAAGTTAAGTAACCTGCTGAAGGACACATAGCCAGGACTTGTTAGAGACAGGACTCAGCTTTCCCAAGCAGTGCCGGAGTTAGTGCTCATAACCTTTGGGCCACATCTCCAATCCAAAATTTCTGGTACATTTCCCCAGTGGTGGGCTGTACCCTGAAAGTGCCCAGCACTTTCCTTTGCTTCTAAGCTACAAATTCAGCGCTGATCTTTAATTGGATCTTCAATTACTGTTTCATTAAGTTAGGACCTAGATCCTAATTGTTAGCAATCACATAAAGTGTTCCATTTTAAATAGACCCCTTTTATTTTTCAGGTGGGTAAACCTTAAAAAGGAATGATACTCTGTTTTAAATTGCCAGAAGGCAAAATATAGTCATTTTGTAACCTCTAAATTTTGTGTTCAAATATTATCTACATTCTGTTCTCATCAGTCAGATCATTTTTAATTACTAAGAGAGTGAGGTTTTCTACCCAGATGATCTATGCTGTTACTGATTAGAAAACAAACAAAATAAGAAAAACTTCCTCTTATTTATGAATGACAATGCGACTTAAGAAGGGTTAAGTCTATGCTGTTCAATAAAGATAGTTACTGGCCGCATGTGGCTACTGAGCATTTGAAACGTGGTTAGTTTAAATTAAGATGTATGGTAAGGATAAAATACAAAGCAGATTCCGAAAACTCAGGACACAAAACAGGTTGTAAAATATCACATTAGCAACTTTTCTATCAATTGCATATTGAACTGATAAATTTGCACATATTGGGCTAAATAAAATATATTATTAAAGTTAATTTCACTTGTTTCTTTTTTTTTCCTTTTTAATGTGGCTACTAGAAAATCTTACATTCCATCTGTGACTTTGCATATATCTATTGGAAAGAACTGGGTTAAGTGATTACTTAGAAACAAAAGAAAGTATCAGTGCGAGTGGAATCAAGCAGTTTGTAGCATATTCATCAATGAAAAGCATTTGTTTTTCAGTGACAAGGTTAAATATCTATGTGATGACAAGTCTACCGTTTGCTCAAAGTTCTGCCCTGTTAGCCTGCCACTGTCTTCATAAGAACGGCAGGAAAAGGCATGTCCTCCTCAGGAAAGATTCTCAGACTGATTTTTCACTGCTCAGAAACGTGGACCTGGGATGACATATCAAGACCAAATTTTAAAAAAAAATACCAGCATTTATTGTGTGGGCTTCAAAGCATCTGGCACGGTTCCGAGCAGTGGTCACTCATGCAGATCACCCATCTCTACCATTGGAGGGACGGTTTTCAGTGCAGCGGTGCAGAGCCAAAGGGCACCCACGAGTTCATTACATAATTCTTGGTAGCGTGAGGCCAAGTGTGTATCTGCTCTGGGGAACAGTCGGCAGGCTCTGCCATGCAGACGGAGGCAGTCATGACGATGTTTTGATAGAGTGTGTGCTAGAAGTTGTTTGTTTGGAAAAATACTAACCAGCTATTTTCCCCTCCTCCTCCTCCTCCTCCTCCTCCTTCTTCTCTTTCTCTCTCTCCTCCCCCTGACTCTTTCTCTCTCTCTCTCTGTCTCTCTCTCGTCCCCCCTCCCCTTCCCCCCACTCTCTCTCACACACACACACACACACACACACACACACACACGCGCGCGCGCGCACACACACAAACACACACACACCCCCTTTTAAACACTCTGGCATAATACTGAATGACTTTGTTTTCAAGTTGCCTTAGACTTGCTTTGTGAAGAAAAAGCCTGAGTATTCTTTCCCTGTAGGACACACATGTTATTTTTGGAACAGAGGTTCTTAGCCTGATCTCTGTCTAAACCAATTGCTGTTCTTTATGAGATCGTGGTCTGGGGCAGCTCTGAGTGAGCTCGGTGGAGGGAAGTTTCCTGGGTTCATGAAGGAGCGTGGGCAAAGATGTGGAGGGGCCACCTTGAAACTTTACTGCTCTGGGTCTCAGTTCAAGGCTCCTTCACATTCAGATTGTGCCCCTGGAACAGTCTCAATCCCACATGCGAAGTGGTCTGCTTTTCCCGCTCGTGTCTCTTCATGGGATGTCTGAAGTCAAGGTGACCCCCGCTCCATTTTAATCCCTGTGCTTTAGGTTACAGACTCGTCAGAACTAAGAAAGCCATGGCTGGACAATCACTGTAGGCTGTTCAGGGTGCAGTGGTTATGGGAGAGCCACAGCCCACCTGAGGGCCACAACTTGAGCCTCTTACGGCCTCTGAGAAAAGTCTCAGGACTTAAGAGTTCAGAGCATCTCCTTCTGTAATCTGCTCTGCTTCAGGCTGCTAGACACCCGGAGGAAAAATCTCTCTGGCTTCTCACAGCTCCTCTTCCTGACCTGTCATTCCTGGGAGTTCACAGAGCTGGAGCCTGCTAGGAAACATGTAAAATTAGAAACAGTTTAAAACATTGGTGTCAGCAACAAATAACATACCACCTCATTCTGACTCCCTTCCTTTGGAAATTGGTAGCTGTCTATTCAGGGAGCAGGTGTTTGTGGAGAAAGGCCCAATGATGACCAAGGAGCGAGCCCCTGAAGGTGTTTCAGGCTGCTGCCACCTCTGAGGATGGGAGGTGACCTGTGACGTGCCCTTCCTGGCGGGCTATACATAGCCAGCAAAGCTTCTTACAAGAGAAACCTCTTTCTGCAGCCCCCACCAGTTCCACCGGCAGACGGACGGCCTCACTGCAAATTCCCTGTAGTTATTGAACCTCGGAACCAAAACCGGCCCGCTGGCCCCCAGACCTGATCGAGTGCCCTTGCAGCCCTCCATCCTTCCTCTTCTCTTCTTGGGGAGCGCGCCCCGTGCTCAGCCATGGTGGACATGGGGGGCCTGGACAACCTGATCGCCAACACAGCCTACCTACAGGCCCGGAAGACCTCCGACGGAGACAGCAGGGAGCTGCAGCGGAGGCGCCGGAGCCTGGTGCTGCCCGGGCCACAGTGCTGCGCCCAGCTCCGCCAGGACCTGCCCCCGGACTTCGACAGCCTGTGCGAGCAGCAGCCCATCGGCCGCCGCCTTTTCCGGGACTTTCTAGCCACAGTGGCCCCGTACCAAGAGGCGGTGGCCTTTCTCGAGGAGGTGCAGAGCTGGGAGCTAGCTGAGGAGGGCCCCGCCAAGAGCAGCACGTTGCAGGGACTGGTGACCGCTTGTGCGGCTGCTCCTGCCCCAGGGAACGCATTCCCTTTCCTCAGCCCAGCTTTGGCCACCAAGTGCCAAGCAGCCACCAGTGAGGAAGAGAGAGCAGCCCTTGTGGCACTGGCCAAAGCCGAGGCCATGGCCTTCTTGCAGGACCAGCCCTTCCGGGATTTCCTGGCCAGTCCCTTCTATGACAAGTTTCTGCAGTGGAAAGTCTTTGAGATGCAACCGGTGTCAGACAAGTACTTCACTGAGTTCCGGGTGCTGGGAAAAGGTGGTTTTGGGGAGGTAAGTGTCTCAGAATAGTCAAGCTGGAAGACGAAGGATACGGCCGCCAAAAAGGGTTTTGTTTTGTCATTTTTTTTTTAATCGTAAGGGCACTTCCTTAAAACTCATTTCAGGGCCACACGTGGAGAGTTCCTAGGTCGCTCTCACATCTTCTTTTCATCGCCATGTGAAGTAAAATGAGAATGGCGTAGGAAAGACAAACAGAATGTGGAACTGGCCAAGAATCTTGATCATGGGTGGACATTGGGACCACACGGAAATGCCCTGGACACTTTGGAGAATGATAGCACCATGTAATGGGAGCACCCCTTGCCCCTTAATTGTGGTAATGGAAATAATTGGAGAAAAACTTCATTTCCTTAAGAAAACACTCATCTTGACGTAAAGCTGAGGATTTGTTTTGAACCACTACTGTGCTCAGCTCCTTTTTTTAAGTAGCAAAAAAGTTTTTGAGGTAAAATTTACATAACGTAAAAATTAACCATTAACCATTTTAAAGTTAAGTAGCATTTAGTACATTACGATGTTGTGTAACCATCCCCTCTATCTAGTTCCGAGATATTTTCGTCACTCTTGGACCCATTAACAGTTACTCCCCATCCTCCCCTCCTCCCAGCCCCTGGCAACCACTGGTCTGCTTTCTCTCTTTATGGATCTGTCTATTCTAATGTCTCGTGTCAATGGAATCATAATATGTGACCTTTCGTGTTTGGCTTCTTTCACCGAGCATAACGTTTTGGAGGTTCATTCACATCGTAGCAGGTATCAGTACTTCATTCCTTTTTAGGGCTGAATAATAATATGCTACTGTCTGGGTACACTACATTTCATTTATTCATTCATCCGTTGATGGACACTTGGGTTGTTTCCACCTTTTGGCTCTGGTGAAGAATGCCGCTCTGAACATGCATGTACAAGTATTCGTTTTGTATACGTCTAGGAGTGGAATCACCGAGTCATACGTTTAACTTTTTGAAGAACCGCCAAACTTTTCTACATTTTTATGTTTCCACCAGCAACGCACAAGGATTCCAACGTCTTCACATTTTGTTATTTCCCCCCTATTTTTTTTTTTTTTAATACTATGGCCCACTCGTGGAGTGAAGTAGCACCTCCTCGTGGTCCCAGCTGTTTCTCGAAGAACTCTTCTTAGTTACAGCTCCTCTGTCCTCAGACGCCTGCCATCTTTTCGCTTTGGCTGATTCTCGCCCTTCCACCTTTCATGTCGTCCTCCCTCCCTCCTCTCTCAATGCTTTCTACTTCAACCTCTTCATCTCCCTTTCTTTCTCTCCTTTAAGGTATGTGCTGTCCAGGTGAAAAACACTGGCAAGATGTATGCCTGCAAGAAACTGGACAAGAAGCGGCTGAAGAAGAAAAATGGCGAGAAAATGGCTCTCTCGGAAAAGGAAATCTTGGAGCGGGTGAGCAGCCCTTTCATCGTCTCTCTGGCCTATGCCTTTGAGAGCAAGACCCACCTCTGCCTGGTCATGAGCCTGATGAACGGGGGAGACCTCAAGTTCCACATCTACAGCGTGGGCGCGCGGGGCCTAGCCATGAGCAGGGTGGTCTTCTACTCGGCCCAGATGACCTGTGCAGTGCTGCACCTGCACTCCCTTGGCATCGTCTACCGGGACCTGAAGCCTGAGAACGTGCTTCTAGACGACCAAGGCAACTGCCGGCTGTCCGACTTGGGGTTGGCTGTGCAGATCCAGGATGGCAAGCCTGTCACCCAGAGGGTGAGTGGCTTCCCATGTGCCCCAAGGGCGGGGCACAGAGTCGGAGAGGAGGGGAGAAGGCTGTCCTATTCCCAGGACAAACAGAGCCTTGAACTTAATTCTTCTAAGTTCCTTTCTCCTAAAGCCCTTATATTGTCTGTCGTCTTGCCGTAAGTGGAGTGGCGTAAGCGGATTAGCTTAACTGGCTATTTGGGGGCTACTTAGCTCTCCTCTCGTTGGAGGCAGAGGGGAGCCTTTTTTGTGACTTGGAGATGGTCTGTGCCGAATCCATAATGAGGGCCTGGGTACATTCCACCAATAACCACCTCCCCGGTGCTGTGTTCTTGAATCAATAGAGCCTTGGTTTCCTCTTCTGGAAAATGAAGGGGCTGAACCCTGAAATTCCAGGGTCCTCACAGATAAACTTTAACAGGATGGGACAAAGGAAAAAGAAGAAACTCCTGACTCTTAACAAGTTAAAGTAAATATGTCCTTGCCCATTGAGTGTGGAATGGGACAATGTTTTACTTTAGATAAAGGTGAAATTTGAAGTGAAAATATATAGACGAGAACCAAGGCAACTGATGTTTATGATCAATTTGGTTCAAAGTGGCTTGCAGAAAATTCTTTGATTGAAAAGAGAAATTAAGCAATTTTGTTAAGTGAACAGTACAAAATTTCTGGCATTCCGACAGGTCTTCACCACTGAGTTTCTGTACACAAAGGTGGGAGGCTCCCCAGGAAGATGAGAACGTACTTAAACAGGCACTTAAAACTTTATTTTTGCACAGTTTCCAGTTTACAAGGCAGAGAGAACAGTCAGGCAAGGAAGTGAGAAAAATCGTGGCATGTTTGGGAAACTGCAGTTGGTTGTCTGCAGCTGTAAAGTAAAGAGTTTCGACAAAATATGTGGGGCTCAGATCATGCAAGGGCATCGGCGTGCTTTATTGTGGGAGTCAAGGAGCCATTGAGAAGTGTGTGTGTTAAGAAGGGGAATGACATGAGTCAATTTGCAAGTTTAAAAGACCGATTTGGAAGATAGAGGGGAGGCAGAGAAATAAGTTAGGAGCCTAAATGTAGTGGCCCAGGAAGAGATGATGGGGCCTGCTTAAGCCAGTAGGGTTGAAGAAGTAGGAGCAAATTGAAACTGTTGGGAAGAGACCCTTGGAACTTCAGGAACACCTGGGTATGAGGGTGAGGGACAGCGAGGGTCTGTAGCTCCAGTGACCAGAAGAAGGAGCAGAACTGTGAGAATGCTGCTAAGTTCAAATGTGATTGAATTGCATCTAAGGCTCCTGTGTGACAGGCGGGAAGAGATGTTCCCTGCACAATTAGACCTGTATGTCTGATGTTGCGAACAAAGGTCTAGGCTTGACACACGGACTTAGAGTCACCATGGCTTGAGCACCATTGAGTGCCCACTGAGACATTTGAGAAATAGCGAGAGAAGTGGACTGGGGACAGACACTGAGGAGTATCAACATGTAGGGACTGTCGATGAAGAGGGGCCTTGAAGAGGTTTAAGACATTAAAAGCAGGAGTGGCATCGTCTTGGGAGCTGTATCGGTTAAGAGTTGATTTCAGTAGCACGTGATACAAAACCCAAATAACAATGAATTAAATAAGAGATGGGCTATTTTTTCTTATGTAACAAGTAGTATAGAGATAACCAGTAGCCGGTATGAGCTCAGCAGCTACAGGATGATGGGAGCAACATCTCTGTGATTTGGGCCTTTTCTATGGGATATAGGATGGCTGCTCTAGCCCCAGCCACCAGGTCCATGTTCCATGGAGGGGAAAGGAGGAAGGGTCAGAAGTAAATGGGTGTGCACACAGCAGCTAAGTACGCCTCTATTTAAGGAGCTTTCCTGGAGGCCTTATCTGACAGCCTCCATTTCAATCTCCTTGGCTAGAATTGTTATCTTGCCATTCCTATCTGCGAGGAAAGCTGGTAAATGTATTTCTATTTTTGGAGGGGTAGAGGGGAGTTCTAGTTAGTAAGGAAGAAGAAAGCAAGAGCAGGGGACTGGCCACCTCTGCCAGAGCAGTCAGAGGAGAGGGGGATTCAGGAAGGAGAGCGGTCAATGCTGTCGAATGCCGCGGAGGTCACACAGTCTGTGGGGTTTGGCAACTAGGAAACCACAGTGTCCTCGGTAAGAGCAATTTTCAGGGTCTAAACTCAAACTCTTGAGATCGGACTGACCTGGAAGGAGAGAGTGAAACCAAGAAAGGAGGGAGGCTTGTCGCTGGAGGGGACCGCGGGGAGAAGGGTGGCGTTTTAAGGTGGGGAGGTGGAGCGGGTTTAGATGCTGAGGTGAGAATCAGGAGAGAAAATGCTGGTTCTTTTGGAAGGAAAGATGGTGAATGATGGAGGAGAAACCAAGAAAGAGGTGGGATGGAATGGAGGCCTTCGGGAACACTACCTAAGTGGATGGGGAGGAGGGATGGTCAGGGAGGAAGGATGGTCAGGGGAGGAGCGATGGTCAGGGGAGGAGGGATGGTCAGGGGAGGAGGCGAGGAAACCACAGTGTCCTCGGTAAGAGCAATTTTCAAGGTCTAAACTCAAACTCTTGAGATCGGAGGAGGGATGGTCGGGGAGGAGGGATGGTCAGGGGAGGAGGCAGTGTTTGCCTGCTTGGGACCTTGCTATGGCAATAAAAAATCATGAATCCATGTCTGTCTATGTGTGCGTGTGTGCGCACACGCGCACGCGCGCGCACACACACACACACACACACACACACAAACCAAAAAGAATGATGGAGGAGAAACCAAGAAAGAGGTGGGATGGAATGGAGGCCTTCGGGAACACTACCTAAGTGGATGGGGAGGAGGGATGGTCAGGGAGGAAGGATGGTCAGGGGAGGAGCGATGGTCAGGGGAGGAGGGATGGTCAGGGGAGGAGGCGGTGTTTGCCTGCTTGGGACCTTGCTATGGCAATAAAAAATCATGAATCCATGTCTGTCTATGTGTGCGTGCGTGTGCACACGCGCAGGTGCACACGCGCACGCGCACACACACACACACACAAACCAAAAAACCCCCAAAGCGCATTACTTCAGGGTTTTGAATTTATATTGTCAATTATGCAGAGTAGAAAGGTTCCTTCTGAGTCCCATATGCACATGTCATGCTAACTGGTGATATATCTCCACCTTGCTGGAGGCTTAGGAGACGCATGGCTTTGGATCTCTCTTAGAAATCCTTTCTCGATCTCCCTCCAGCTCTGTTCATGGGCCAAGAGAATGTTTAAGTATAGTTCCTTCGGTGGCTCCTGGGTCCAGCTCTCCAGTTCTTGTTGGAACCTCAGGAAGCTTTCTGTGCCTCCTTGATAACATCCACTGTAATGGATACACTTGGGGGAGAAGTTTACTGCCTAGAGACCTTTGGCCCTTCTTCCTTTCCTTAGTCCCTCTCTGTCCCATGAGACCAAACTTCAGGGTTTAGACCATTTGCCCCATCTAAGAAGTTTTATTCCTTGGTCCCCAGGCCTGCCACTGAAGCCCAGGGGACCTCAGGAGGGTTTGGGGGGTGGGAGGAAGAGTCAGAGAGCAAGACTGGAAGCCATAAAAATAAAGACAGAAGAAAAGAAAGCCTCCTCCTTTACTGTTGACCCCTCTGCAGATCTAAGGAAAGCCCCTCGGTTTCCTGTTTAAGTAAGAAATACTTATATATAAGTAGGCCCCCAATTGGATTTTAAGGTCATTATATTCACATTTCACAGAAGAAATAAAAAATGACATCTTTACAAGGCTTCTGTAACCACTAACATTGTTTTAATGCCAGCATACTATATAAAGAATTACTGTCAATATTATGAAGAAGGTGCAAAAGAAAGATCACTCTGATGCTAAAAGTTGATATCTGCATTGACTCTGTGCAGCCCTTTATAAAAAGTTAAAGCATCATAGCTCTGGAGCATTGGCTAGATTATTCTCATTCAGCTACTCATTCAGTCTTGTGTAAGTCAGAATTGTCTCCTACTACATGTAACAGAATACCAACAGATTCTCAACCGTCCAGGGCCAAAGTCTCTATAAAAATCTCCTGGCCTTTTCTTTGTTGTCACAAGATGGCTTTTGTTACCCCAAATATCAAGTCCACATTCCAGGATGAAAGAAAGGGGGAAAGAGAAGTAATGTCAACAGACTTAGTCTTAGACCCCATTGTCCAGGACCATGCCACATGTCTACCTCTAGCTGCAAGGGAGCCTGAAAAATAAAGTTTTTCATTTTACAGCCTCTGGTGTAGGGGATGGAGAGGATAAAAAGGGAGTGATGTTAGGTATCGAGTGAGCTGACACCAACTGTCATACCAGCCCACAGGGAAAAAAATATTGATAAGGATAAGGAAATCTGCTTCAGCTTATTAATTCACACAGGAATTAAAACTAGAGAATAACTGTTGAAATGGTGTGGTAGGCAGAATTCTAAGATGACTTCCAATGACCCTTGCCCTTGTATGATTTCCTCCCCTTGAGTCTGGGCAAAGCCTGTGAATATGATGAGATTTCACTCCCATGATTATATTACATCACAAGGCAAAATAGATTTTGAAGACATAATTAAGGCTACTAACCAGATGACTTTGAGTGAATCAAAAGAGAAATAAATTATCCATGTGGGTCCGACCTAATCAAACCAGTCCTTTAAATATGAGTGTGGAGGTCAGAGACAGCAGAAGTTAGAAATGCAAAGCATGAGAGGGCTTCATTGTACCACTGCTGGCTTTGAAGATGGAGAGAGCCACGTGGCAAGGAGCTGAGAGCTGCCTCTGGCTGATAGGGACTTCAGTCCTGCAATCACAATGAACTGAATTCTGCCATAACCACATGCATCTGGAATAGGATCCTGAGCTCCAGATGAGAATGCAGCCCACCAGACATCTTGGCTTTGGCCTTGTAAGATCCTGACCGAAGGAGCCCACCATGCTGTGCCAAACTTCTAACCTTCAGAACTTAGAGCTAATACATGGGTGTTGTTTTAAGCTACTAAGTCTGTGGTAATCTGTTACACAGCAAG